AATTATTTTCTTTTAATAATGAAGGAGGACATATGAATTCTTCATATTCAGTTCTCCACATTAGAGGGCTTTTAATTCTTTTATGAACTAAAAGCAAACAACTCTACTAACCAAAGCATGACAATGAGATTTAGCAAGAACTTTTGTCTAATTACACAATAGTAGCTTTAACAGGGAAATGTTATATCTGCATGTCCACTTCATAGTTAACATGACATTCCAGGATGAAATCATCTGTCCCATCACTTTACCTGGTTGTTGAGGCATGAGCAATGATATTTCCTCCAATAGGTTTTTTAGGATCTGCAGCAAACATGGCTGCTCCATCCACTTGGGCTACCACCTGGTTGGTGATTACCACAGCTACACCAAACTGATGGAGAAAGGATAAATGTCATATTTTTTTTTTTTTTTTTTGTGGCCACAGACATTGCAAGGACTATCTTTATTGCTGGCAACCCTTTTCCCCACAAACCAATGAAAAACTCAAGTCTCTCTTCATATCTAACTGGTGTCTTGATACCAGGCCCCAGTGTCCTGGCCTTCCAGCAAAGCTCCTGAAATCCGTGGCCCCTGAAAGTAGACTGTCCCCACCTGACAACTCACCTCATCAGCAAGTCGCAGAAGCATCCGCAGAAACCTGGCCAAGTGCATCTGCCTGGCTGACAGTTCACCTCGACCGGAATAGTCTGTTCTGTAGAGGGCGGTGGCACTGTCCACAATCAGCAGTGCATACCTACGGGACAAGGGCTCTCGGAAGCCGATTTCTAGCTTCGGTCAGATTCTGCTCCTTCCTCTCACTATGCTAAGATTTCACATTCAGTTACACGTGTATATAGATGTTTCATTGACACACTTGTATAGCATCCATGTCTGAGGTCCCATATAACAAGATAAAATTCCAACAAGTTCAGGTGGATTATGGTTTCTTTTCATTTTATGTTTTTATTTTAGAGAGAGGAAGGGAGAGAGAGAGAAAGAGAAACATCGATTTGTTGTTTCACTGATTTATACATTCATTGGTTGCTTCTTGTTTGTGCCCTGACTGGAGATTGAACCTGCAACCTTGGTGTATTGGGATGATGCTCTAACCAACTGAGCCACCCAGCCAGGGCTATGGCTTCATTTTTTAACAGTGACTTGACTTAACCACAAAGTAAGAGTGTCAAAATAGGAAATAAAACTTAAATCTTCCCATTTCTAATTCAAGCTACTATCAATTTGGCCAAATAGCCTATATAAGATTCAGGATAAGGGCCTGGGAGCATATTCAGTATCTTCTGAGCACATACCTGGACTCTACCATCATAGCTGATGCTTGATAAAGCAGCTGGGTCTGGTGGTCTGTGTTGAACCCACGAGCATATGCTACATTATCTAGGACATCACTGCCAGAGAGGCCATATCTGGAAAAGAAGAGAGAACATTTTTAGGCTGCACAGAGGACTCAGGCAGATGAGAAATTCATTTCTAATAAGGAAATTACATGGATGGGTAGGTAAGAAGTATTGGGACTAAATAATATTAATTCCCTTTCTATTAGGACAAACTGCACAGAGAGATTACAACAATTATTACTTTGGAGTAATCTACCTGGCAGGACTTTAGGATAAATCAAATCTATTCTCTGAGGACTCCTGAACTAGAATTAGAAATTTCCAAGTATAAGGAAACAATGTTCTCCTGGAAAAACCAAGGGCAACCTGACAGAATTGAGACTGAAACAAACAAAAAGAACCACTCTAAGATCTATTAACCAAATTCATATAAATTTATTACATAGGAATAAAACCTAAGCAAGTACTCAAAACTCTAAGAAGTTCGAGAGAAGCAAATATTTTTTTTCATTCTTGCTAGTAATTAGTTATTCCTCAATAATGATTTTTCCCTCTGCATTTAAAAAAGGCAAATAAAATATCTCTTATTTTCTTAGAAAAATTTGTATTTTCTCATCTTTATAACTGATACCTAAGACATGAATGGTTCGAGTAACAACACAGTTTTCATTCTCATTAAATGTACCATAATGGAGCTCCATTTCTTTAAAGATAAATTTCCCCTTTATCTCTCAAATAGATGTGATTTTCCCTCTTCTGTACTTCCAAAAAACTGATTTAGATCTTTTTATGGCATTTGTGCAGGGCAACCCTTTTTCCCACAAACCCTGCCATTCTTTGACTAGACTACAAATTCCTTGAGGTTAAAGATAAGCTTGTCTACCTTAAATATTTTTTCTACCTAGTAAATTCTAAATGTTGCTAAGTAAAGCTTTTATTCACAATCCATACAAAAAGAAAATTATACACATCAATTTAACTCATCATATTTTCATATTAATGCCATAAAAATCATTACAGTCCGAAAATATAATACTCCCTTAATGTAATAGTTCAAAAGAGAATCTGTTTAAACAAATCAATGTGCTATTAATTCTTTGATAACCAAAAGTTTCTATGTTTATGATCCTATCAGTCTTTTTTTAAAAAAAATATATTTTATTGATTTTTTACAGAGAGGAAGGGAGAGGGATAGAGAGTTAGAAACATCGATGAGAGAGATCGATCAGCTGCTTCCTGCACGCCCCCCCAATGGGGATGTGCCCACAACCAAGGTACATGCCCTTGACCGGAATCGAACCTGGGACCCTTGAGTCCGCAGGCCGACGCTCTATCCACTGAGCCAAACCGGTTCGGCACCACACTGTATTAATTACTGTTGCTTAATAGGAAGTTTGCAAAGACTAAGACTTGCAATCTACAACCCCCCATCCCGAAATAATCTGGGTCCTTAACATTTCCATATAAATTTTATAATCAGCTTGTCAATTTCTACAAAAAAGCTTGCTGGAATTTCAATAGGGATTGTATTGAATCCATAGATCAATTTGAGGGAGAATTTTAATAGTATTGCATCTTCCAATCCATGAATATGGAATGTTTCTCTATTCAGATTTCAATTTCTCAGTAATGTTTTGTAGTTTTCAGTGGACCAGTCTTGCACTTCTATTAAATTACTAAATATTATTATTATTATTTTTAAATATATTTTATTGATTTTTTACAGAGAGGAAAGGAGAGGGATAGAGAGTTAGAAACATCCATGAGAGAAAAACATCCATCAGCTGCCTCCTGCACACCCCCTACTGGGGATGTGCCTACAACCAAGGTACATGCCCTTGACCGGAATTGAACCTGGGACTCTCAGTCCACAGGCCAACGCTCTAGCCACTGAGCCAAACTGGTCAGGGCACTAAATATTATTTTTGATGTTACTGTGAATGGGACTGTTCTCCTAATTTCTGAATTGTTCATTGCCAGTATAGAGAAATTGTAACCTACCAGCTTGCCGAACTAATTTAGTTTTAATAGTATTTTTTTTTTTGTATGTGTGTAGATTTCTTAGGATTTTCTACATACAGGATCATATCATAGGTAAATAGTTTTATGTCTTCCATTCCGATTTGGATGCCTTTTATTTTCTTTCCTGACTGCACTGGCTAGGACTTTTAGTACAATGTGGAATATAAGAGTGGACACCCTTGCCTTGTTTTTGATCTTAAGGAAAAAGCATTCAGACTTTCACCATTAAGTATGATGCAAGCTGTACTTTTTTTGCAGTTGCCCTTTATCAGGGCATCTGATAAATGTTCTATCCATTATTGAGAGTGAGATATTGGTCCCCAACTATTATGGTTGAATTGTCTATTTACCCTTCAATTATGTCAGTTTTTGTTTCACATATGTATGGGCTCAGTTATTAGATGTTTATAGTTATACTTTCCCGATAAACTGACCTTTTAGTTATAAAATGTTCTTCTTTGTCTCTAGTAATATTTTTTGTGTATCTTAAAGTCTATTTTGTCTGATATTAGAGTAACTACTAGAATTCTCTAATGGTTACTGTTTGCATGCAAATCTTTTTCCATCCTTTTACTTTCAACCTATTTGAGTCTTTGAACCTAAGGGGTTTCTCTGTAAGACAGCATATAGTTGGATCTTGTTGGGTTTTTTAAATGCACTCTGGCAGCAACTCATAGATTTCTGACTAAAGAAGAATGCTTTTCTCTACTACATACATACACCATTGGAATCCTCCTATATAATAAAAGGCTAATATGTAATCGACCGAAGGGCAGAACAACCGGTTGCTATGACGCGCACTGATCACCGGGGGCATTCGCTCAATGCAGGAGCTGCCACCTGGTGGTCAGTGCGCTCCCACAGGGGAGCGCGCCGCTCAGCCAGAAGCTGGGCTCATGACTGGTGAGCACAGCAGCAGTGGTGGGAGCCTCTCCCACCTCCGCAGCAGTGCTAAGGATGTCCGACTGGCGGCTTAGGCCCACTCCCTGCTGAGTGGGCCTAAGCTGGCAGTCGGACATCTCCCGAAGGCTCCTGGACTACGAGAGGGCACAGGTCGGGCTGAGGGGCCCCGAGTGCACGAATTTCGTGCACCGGGCCTCTAGTATGGAGTAATAAGAGAAGACGATGCTCAGCTGGTGTGGCTCAGTAGTTGAGCATTGACCCATGAAATGGGAGGTCACAGTTCAATTCCAGGTCAGGGTACATGCCCAAGTTGTGGGCTCTATCCCCAGTAGGGGGCGTGCAAGAAGCAGCCAATCAATGATTCTCTGTCATCACTGATGTTTCTATCTTTCTCTCCCTCTCTGAAATCAATGAAAACACATACATTTTTTTAAAAAAAGAAGACACTGTTCAACCAGACTAACCCTATAAATCATGACAGTGACAGGTACAGCCATACTTCTCTCATCTAATCCAGTAACCTACCTCTCAGCCACTGCTAGCAGCCGCTCTGGCCTAAAGGTACCCTCGGTGTCAATGTACATGGCCTTTCCTTCACCTCCACCCCGGTCAATGGGAAGCTAGAGAGAACAAAAATAACAATAGAAATGAACACTGTACTTCTTATATAACTGACCAACTTACCTATGATTCTATAAATTCCCCCTCTTTCCAATAAGGCAAAGGGAAAAAATCACCTCAAAGTGGTCAAGGGCACGTGCCTCAGTTGCAGGCTCGATCGTTGGTCTGGCTGGGAGATGTGCAGGAGGCAACCAATCAAAGTGTCTCTCTCACATCAATCTTTCTCTGTCTCCCCCTCCCTTCCACTTTCTCTAAAAATCAATGGGAAAAATATCCTTGGGTGAGGATTAACAAAACAAAACAAAACAAAACAAAAGAGCATGAAGGTTGAAGAACTGATAAAGCTGTCTTTACTGAGTGAGAAAAAGTAAGCAAAAATGCAGAAACAGTAATCTGCCTAGCAGTACTGAATGCTAACCTAAAGTTTGTCATAAATTTAAAGTGAAGCCAATCAGCTCTATGGTATGATTTTTCTCTAGTATGATCAGCTATTTGAGAATAGGCATTAAAAAGACAGGATTCAGCCCAGACGGTGTGGCACAGCGGTTGAGCGTCGGCCTATGAACCAGGAGTTCACAGTGAAACTCCCCGTCAGGGCACGTGCCCAGGTAGGATGCGTGCAGGAGGCAAACAATCAATGATGCTCTCTAATCATTGATGCTTCTATCGCTCCCTCTCCCTTCTTCTCTCTGAAATAAAACAAAACAAAAACAAACAAAAAACATACTTAAAAAATTTTAAAAAGACAGGGGTCATTGAGATTGGCATCTCTTCAGGTATAGGATATAAATCTGAGGGTATTGGTAAAGGAATGACTTTTTAAAAATATATTTTTATTGATTTCAGAGCTGGAGGGAGGGAGAAATAGAAACATCAATGATGGGAGAGAATCATTGATCGGCTGCCTCCTGCACACCCCACACTGGAATTGAGCCTGAAACCTGGGCATATGCCCTGACTGGGAATCAAACCATAACCTCCTGGACGCTCAACCACTGACCTGCACTGGCTGGGGTGGTAAAGGAATGACTTTAATGATGAATCATAAAATCTAGATGGTGAAAAGGGGAGATAAAGCCACAGGAGGCCTGGGGGGTGGTAAGAAAGTATTTGAAGTCAATGATCTGCAAGTTTCTATGATGTTGAAGAATTTTGCAGTAGGAATTTATTTAACTAGCACATGGGATTCTTGAGAACAGAGAAAGTGCTTTAATATCCATCCCAAAAGATGCTTGAAAACAGTGGAAATAACTTCTTGCTGGTTTGATTAGTTAGAGGCCCAACAGCTCACCTGGCATGTTACAGCCAATGTATGACAGATCTGGGTCTTCCCAGTTCGGAATTCTCCAAACATCTCTGTGATGGATCCAGTTTCAATTCCTCCTAACAGAGCAATAAGAAACACCTCTTAGCACAATACAAATGTTTAGAAACAATAATCATAGAAATGTTCTTGGAGCTCATCAGAAAGATATTTGCAGGATGATACAGCGGCACAGAGGGGAGGGCTAACACTTAAATTTAAGTGTGATTCCTGAACTCAGGATATTTTGCACTCTATAAAAAGATAACTTGAATGCTTAAATATCTGGGGAAGCAACAAGAATCAAATCTAACTTAGGACAGCAATGCTTCCAAAAGTTCAAAAATTATAGTTTTCTGCCCTGGCTGGGTAGCTCAGTTGGTTAGAGCATCATCCCAATACACCAAGGTTGCGGGTTAGATCCCTGGTCAGGGCACATACAAGAATCAACCAATTAATGCATAAATCAGTGGAACAACAAAAAGAAAAAAGAGGGAAAAAAATAAGTGGAACAACATCTCAATGTTGTTCTTTCTTTCTTCCTCACTCTCTAAAATTTAAAAATAAATAAAAGCATAAACAAAACTATAGCTTTCCATAAAGTCCTGAAGATTAATGTAAACTACAGTGCGGTATTCAAACATGGAGTTTTTTTTTTTAATATATTTTTATTGATTTCAGAGAGGAAAGCAGAGAGAGATTGATAGAAACATCAATGATGACAGAATTATTGATTGGCTGCCTTCTGCACGTCCCTTACTTGGGAATTGAGCCCGCAACCTGGGCATGTGCCCTTGACGGGAATCGAACCCAGGACCCTTCAGTCCACAGGCCAATGCTCTATCCACTGAGCAAAAAAACCAGCTAGGACCAAACATGGAGTGTTTTAATCAGCCATCAGATTCTCAAACTTGTGTGTTAAAGTAGAAGATTAAAATTATTTCTTTAGGCAGAGGGAGCTTACTCTCTGAATGCAATATTAAATGGAGATTAAATTATTTAATTGGCAGATCACTTTAGCATTTTACAAGTCAGGTCCCACCCTGGAGCAGTCTTACTTCATAAATGTGAATACTTCTCTTATCTCTTAATCATATCTAACACATGTACTTTAGTTTTGTTCTATGACCTGGATGCTTTGCTAACTGCAGTTCACAAAATAGGATAAGGAATTACTACACCTTGAAGTAGTTTGTCCAGTTCTTTGGAGCCAGTAGTAATCTGTATGATCTCTGATCGCCTTTGGTGGAACTCAGTTGCAGTGGTAAAACCCATCGGAACTAATTTAGCTGCCTCAGTCTGGGAAAAACAAGAAATGTCAAATCAACAAAAAAGCTTACCAAAACAAGAACCAGGTATATAATAGGAAGAAACAACATCTAACAAATTTCCATTATGATTTCTCTTTAAGAAGTCATCAAAATACTAGTAGTTCGCCCTAACCGGTTTGGCTCAGTGGATATAGCATCAGCCTGTGAACTCAAGGGTCCCAGGTTCGATTCCGATCAAGGGCATGTACCTTGGTTGCGGGCACATCCCCAGTGGGGGGTGTGCAGGAGGCAGCTGGTCGATGTTTCTCTCTCATCGATGTTTCTGACTCTCTCTCTCCCTTCCTCTCTGTAAAAAATCAGTAAAAATATATTTATAGACGCACACATATGTGCTTCATCTAATTTATGACAAATGTGACAATACCGTACAAAGTCCAAAACAGATTTAAACGTTCATTTCCTGTACCATCAACCATAGGTTATACAACTTTCTATCTACTTTGTTAAATGAGGACATTTGTCCTTTGATCTCTTCTCCTTCCATGTCTACTTCCCCACCTCTGTCAGCTATTCCTTTTCTTTTACCTTTTACTTTTTTGTGACCCATTTGCAACCTGTTTTGTAGTTACTTATACATCTTCAATAATCAGTCTATCAGTTGATTCCAAAATTTAAAAATAAATGCATTCCCAAACATGTGGGAATAAAATACCACACTCCTAAATAACCAATGAAGCCAAGAAATCTCAGGGGAAAATACTGAGATGAATAAAAACAAAGACACAAACACCAAATCTTATGGGATGCAGCAAAAGCAGCGTGTAAAGGGAAATCTGTGGCTATAAACGCCTATGTTAGAAAAACCTAAAAAAAAAAAAAATCCTCACCTGAGGATATTTTTTCCATTTCTTTTTAGAGAGAGTAGAAGGGAGGGAGGAAGGGGGGAGAGAGAGAAACACTGATGTGAAAGAGACACATCGAAATATTTCCTTGATTGCCTCCCGCATGTGCCAGGACCAGCACCAGGGATCTAACCTGCAAATCCAGGTGCTCGCCCTTGACCCAGACCTGAGCCTGAGACCCTTTGGTGCATGGGCAAACGCTCTAACCACTGAACACACTGGCCAGGGCTATGAGAATCTTAAATAACCTAAATGTCCATTTTAAGATACTGGGAAAAAAAAAGAAACAAGCAGAAAGAAGGAAATAATATTAGAGCACAAATTAGTAAGATAGAGGACAGAAATATAATAGGAAAAAATCAACTAAACCAAACCTCAATTCTTCGAAAAGATCATTAAAATTAATAAACCTTACCCAGAAGGCACGGCTCAGTGGTTGAGCATCGACCTATAAACAGGGAGGTCACGGCTCATTCCTGGCCAGGGCACATGACTGGGTTGCGGGTTGGGGCTCAGTACCAGGTAGGGTCCATGCAGGAGGCAGCCGATCAATGATTCTCTCTCATCATTGATGTTTCTATCTCTCTCTTCCTCTCTGAATTAATAAAATATGTTTAAAAAAATTAATAAACCTTTAGCCAGACCCCTCCCCACCAAAAAGATTAAAATCAGGAATGAAAGAGGGGACATCACTACCAACCTTACAAAAATAAAACGATACCAACAAATAAGACAACTTAGATGAAATAGGTAAATTTCTAGAAAGATTCAAACTTATTCAAGTAGAAAAAAAACCAAATCAAGGCACTGAAAGATCAGTTGAGCTTGAGTCTAAATTCAGTAAATAAATTGAGTCTGCACTACAAAGATAAAAGGAAGTCTGAACAGATCAATAGCAAGAGATTAAACTTAAAATTTAAAAACTTTCTCAAAACTTCTTTATACAGTCTTTTTAATTTTTTTTAAAATTGATTTTTAGAGGAAGGGAGAGGGAGAGAGAAAAACATAGATATGAGAGTGAAATATTGGCTGCCTCCTTTCATACTCTCTATGGGGGACTGAGCCCGCACCTGGGCATGTGCCCTGACCGGGAAATTGAACTCTTTGGTGCACAGGATGATGCCCAACCGAGTCACACAGGACTCTTTTTGTAAAAAATTGATTTTTTAGAGACAGAAGGAGGGAGGGAAGAAAAGGGGGAGAGGGGAGAGAGTGAGGGAGGGAGGGAGGGAGGGAGAGGAAGGGAGAAAGAGAGCGCGCGAGCCAGTGTGCCAGCACACGCCCAACATCGATTTGTTGTTCCGCTTATTTACGCACTTGTTGGTCGATTTTTGCATGTGCCGTGATTGGGGATTAAACCCCCAACCTTGGTGTATGGAGACAAGGCTCTCACCAATTGAGCTACCCAGACAGAGCTCTTAAAACTGCACTTAACAATTCATTACAATGTTTGTTAGTTTTGTACACATAATTCATCGCAGAACCAATTGTGTGACAGAAAGACAATTGTTTTGTTACATTATGTCTCTCAAAAGTTTGTCAAATTCAAATGAATTCTTTTTTATACTAAAACAGTTTCAAAATCATGCTCTATTTTACTTTGCTTTTATATCTGAGCCACGTCTCTCTAGTATTCTCTAACTTTATTCATTTCTCAAATTTTCCAACGGCTCAATCTCACTATGTATTCTACTGAATCCTTTCCCCCCTCCGAGATCTTTCCTTCTCCAACTGCACTTTCTGCTCTCTAGGCTAGCTCCTATCCTGGGCCTTCCTTCACTTAGTACTTGAGTTGGAGCCACTCTAACCTAGATCCCATGTTTTTCCATCTTCAATCTGGTAAAGTATATCCTCAAGTAACTTCATAAGAAAAAATGGATGAGAGAAAAATGTTCTGAATCCTTGTTTCTGAAATTGTTTTATTCTGCCCTAATATTTGATTAATAATGTTAAGCTAGGCTTAAGATTATTTTCCCTCAGAGCTTTAAAGGCATTGCTCTGCCTGCTTCTATCACCCAGATTTCTGACAGAAAACGTACTTTCTGATGATTGTTCCTTTAGACGTCACTTACTTTTTTCTCTCTGAAATCTTTCAGAACCTTCTCTTTATGATTGGTATACTGAAATTTCACACACACTGATTTGTCTAGGTGTTCATCTTTGATACTCTATGGGGTATTACTATATAAGACTTTTGCTTCTCTTTAACTCTGTCAATTTCTCTTGTATTATTTCTTTGAGAATTTCTTCCCTTTTTCCTGTAACTTCTACTAATCTTCAGGATGAATGAAGATTTAGTAGATTTAGAAAATAAAAATATCAAAGAAAGGGGGGAAGAAGCTTATACACCAATATTGAAATCTAGCTAATGTATGCTAAAATATTTAGGGGAAAATGTATTAATTTCTGCAATTTTCTTTGAAAGCATAAAAAAAAAATCCAAGACGGACTGACTGCTGGATAGAGAGATAAACAGGTGTTAAATCAAGTATATTAAAACTAGTGGCCCGGTGCACGAATTTGTGTACATCGAAAGGAAATTAATTAGAAGAAATATTTTAATATTGCTATTCACCCTTTCTCTATAATAGAAGTGTCAACCAAATTCACAATCGACAATGACAAATGGAAACACATGGGTGTGATTGGCAAGAGAGCTTTATTTGTATTGCACATGTGTGAGTCAACTTAGCCTTCTATAGATATAGAATAAACTTGTTTAGTTATACCTGCTTTCTGATTTAGCTAAACTTTTTCCAGCCCAGTGAAGCACCCCAACTTCTCTTTCAGGTAATTGTCAGCAACACAGCAGTAAAATCAACACGAAGCAGATTATTATTGAGGATCATGCAGGGAGAACAAAGGGTAAAATATTTAACTGCAGCAGTGTTTGACTATATTCTGCACAGTGAGAAAACCCAAAGTCATTTTCAAGGTCCACCATTTCTTACTTCTTTTCAGTTGGGTCAAGTTTCTAAGCTTTCTAAATCTCCGTTTTCTGGCTAATGAAAAGAAAATAGGATTCCACTGAGTCTCCTATCTACCTACTCCAGGACTTCTGTGAGGATCAAATGAGATGAGGCCTGGGAAAATGCTTCACACACATTTAATTAAAGTGTAAATGTTTCCACCTAGGTATAAAGCAAGTCATGACCCTGGGCTGCAGAAACTCCTAGTCGCTAGGAAGAGGAAGCTGGGCGTCGCTATGTGATGTCATTACCTGGCGCCCACAGTGACTGTTTCTGGGCTGGCCATGAGGTCTCAGCAGCGACAACTGTGATTTGGTGGGCTGTCGCTCCACGGTGGTGGTGGGCCCTGTGTCCCACTTGGGGGAAGCCGAGTGTTGCTTTGTCGGCCAAGTCCGCGCTGCCCGTTTCTCGGTAAATGCCAAGTGTGCATCACGGCAGCTCCTTCGTTGAGGGTCTGCCCCTTGGTGGTCAGTGCACGTCATAGCAAGCAGTTGGATAGTGGGAAGGACACTTAGCATATTAGCCTTTTTTATATATAAGATGTTAATGGTATAGCCCAGGTGATGGGTATATGACTGTTCACTATATAATTCTTTCAGCTTTGCAATAAGTTCAAAAATTTTAATAACAAAATGTTGAGAAAACTCAGGAGATGCTTTACCTTCTTTTCATTTTAACCTCTACATTTTCTTGTCTATGAGCTCTTAAAGGAACAGAATATTAAACCAAAGGGAAATTTGAAGTAAAAACTGTCCAATTGCCTAATCTGGCAGAACTTTACTTCTATTCTTTTTTTTAAAAAATATTTTATTAATTTTTTACAGAGAGGAAGGGAGAGATAGAGAGAGTTAGAAACATCGATGAGAGAGAAACATTGATCAGCTGCTTCCTGCACATCTCCCACTGGGGATGTGACCGCAACCAAGGTACATGCCCTTGACCGGAATCGAACCCGGGACCTTTCAGTCCGCAGGCCGACGCTCTATCCACTGAGCCAAACCGGTTTCGGCTACTTCTATTCTTATACTTAACAAAATAAGCAAGCTTTTATCTGTGCTAGGCAGAAGTCTTTAGAAGTTTTAGACAGCCAAGAACTATCGAACCCTTGGACACAAAACATAAAATATCAAGTAAAAAAAATATTTTAAAAAATATCC